ATTAAACTCAAATTTGGAAATATAACCAGCAAACAGAAATAACAGTTTAATACCAACATTTAGCTTGCAGGAATTGGATGATTGAATGAATATGTTTATTATCACCTATATTCATATGCCAATATCTCGTGTGATTTATCTTATTTTATGGTAATTAATATCACACTGATTTGTATTTAAATTTGATAGTGATTTCCATATTATTAAAAAAACAGCTTTCAAGAAATATAAAAGGTATTGATTTGGAAGTAATATTTGTTGACATAAACAATGCATTGAAATTGCAACATTATAGCGAAGTTGTACATTGTCGTTAACATACACAATAATTTTGCCAGGTGCACCGCTGGAAGGTAAAATATAAATATAAAAATCGGTGTATAAAAAGTACTAGTGTATTGCTAAACTGACTATGGCGTAATGAGAAGACAGGATAAACAACATTGTGTTTGGTAACACATCGAAAACCTTACAAAATCAAATGCCGTCCATAAAGCTTAATTACATCGATCACGGCCAATGTAGACCATCAATCCAACTGCAAATATGATAAGATGGAGAAGAAGACACTTCCGGCATTCGACCTATAGAAAATGAGCGAGCTACTTTAAAGATCGGCCCTTACAGTATTTCACAAAAGATACGGGCGGTTCCATAATTACTGGACACAAATATGCTGTGCGCGAGCCTGAACCCTGGGACCATCATGTGATACTAATTATGGCGTTAGAAAGACAATTAATTTCAAATCCGAGTAGCGTCTAAAATGCCATGTTAAATTAACACATAATTCGTAAAGAACTATTGAGAGTTTTGACAATTGTTGAGCACGGTGTACAGCCAACAATGTAACAATACTTGGCCCAGGATTAACTTAGATATTCGTTGTTCCCTAACCCCTTCATTATTTCTTATATATCGACTAAATACTTTATACGTTACGTAAGTTCGCAATCAATAACACCAAGAAAATGAAAACGTGGCTTTTGTTATATGCAATTCACTGTTTAAGTCGTGTTGGTGGTTTCACACGGTAAATTCAAACCATCCAATGATCAGCTGTTCGCAATGCGTTAAATACGGAATGCGTTTCTGAGCATATGATCAGGCAACATGGAGAGCGGAGAATGTAAGCTGTCAGTCATCCACCCGGGCACTCTCGACCCTGGGTAGCTAGCTGTCATTCATTCTGTCAACCGTATTTCTTAGCCTAGTGTATTGATTTATTTATCTAAGTGTATACAGGGGCAAAAGCTCATGACGCGAGACTTTTTCAATTGTTCGTACACACACCATTACACCGGTTCGCACGTGGCCTGTCAAAGCTAACTGCCATTTACCCGCCTTCGTTG